TTTTTATATTTGCATTGTAAGGACAAATTCTTCCACATTTTATCAATAAAGTGAATTTTTGTTACTTTATATTTCCTTACAATAACATTTATGAAAATTGGTGATGATATTTTTATTATTAGCAATGTTACATATGGATTTGATCCTTTGTTATATCATATGTGGTAATGTCACTATTAACAAAATGAAAGGAATTCTCATCACTCAAGTTTCAATTTGATAGAAACTTAGAGTCATACAATTCGAATTGTGTGATGTATGGGAATCTTGATCTTTGGAAAATTAGGACTAATTCTTTGTTTACATGTTTATGTGAGACAAGTGAAAGACTAAAGGATGTAGTACACATTGATGTGGACTGGTCAGATCCACCACAAAGGACGGTAAGTTTATTTGTCATGATTTACTGATGGTTTAGTAAATATGATTATACTTATAAGATTAAGTGTAATTCTGATTCTTTAAAAGGTTTCAAAGAATGGCATAATGAATATGAAAAATCTATTAGGCAGAAAGATAAAGGTTTCTCCAATCTGAATGAAAGGAGAGTACTTTAGTATCATATTTTATGATCATCTTAATGATTATGAAACTATGTCACAATTGATCATCTAAGGATATCTTAGTGAAATTGTCTCAACTAAGAAGAGGAATCAAATATTGCTAAAATACCTTGAGAAGTCTAGATGAAGACTTATCAAAGCATCACGTATCATAAATTTGAACTTTAATGAGAAGTCAAGAGCATTGATTTCCAAAAATCCGGTTGATTTTTAGGTACATATCAAAGCTAGTGAGAGCATAATTGTTATGCAGATAGAAGCATAATTGTTATGCTAGTGGGAGCATAGTTGTTATGCAAAGTGTTGCAAATTGGCAATACTGGTTGTAGGAAACAAAGTTTTCAAATTTGCAAGTTGCAAAGTTTGGAATTATTTTACTATGATAAGCTTAGGGGAGAGGGCACTCATACATCATTTCAAATCTAAAGGATTAGATTAAAGGATTTTTAATGGAACTTAGTCTTGTTCTTATATGAATATCGCGTTGTAGTGATTCAACATAGGAAATTCAGTATATGAAAATATAATAGCAAGAGACTTATCGAGTATCATGTCTTTATGTGAGACATTATGTGTCGAATCCCATATGTCTTGGATATTGGATTGCTTACATATGCTATAATATTCACTTGATGCCAAAGGCATTGAGAAGGAAAAATGACTAGAACAAGATGTGACTAAAATTGTTAAACAACTGTCAAGAACAGTCTAAAGTTTACCTGAAGATTGGTTGCTTGAGAACAGTTAGAAGTATAAATTTGGAAGGACCATATTCACATGTTTTTAGTGGAGATAATTCGTGATCAGAATTGATAGTCGTATAGGAATATGGAAATGTTTCCATAATGGGAGTTGGTGATTAGAATCTACATGTAAGTTAGAAACCTTAATGTAAGGAAGGTGTTCAAGAATTGTATCTTGAATTTGATACTTCATTACAATGAAATTTTTTTAAGTAACAAAGTTTCAATGGAGCATTTTGTGACATTATCGGCAAAGTCTTTGACTTTCAAGCCACGTCATCACAAAAGAATATTTCATGAAAGGTTAGACTCTAACACATTTAATTATAAAAGAATTTGGAATTCTTACACTTATAATAAGGATTTCACATTGTGAAATGAGCACCATTGGAATTGTCCAATTGATTTGTTCACAAATGAATGACCATAGAGAAACATAGTATGGATGTTTAGAACATGGAATGACTAATGTTTAATGCAAGTGTTTAGTTGATTCATCGAAACATTATACAATTAATAAAGTCTAATTAATATGGTGATTAAATAATAAGCGTTTTATTAATATTCAATAGTTTTGAAATAATAGTTAATTAGGTTATTATTGTGTTTCACTTCGCATAGTTCGACATGGAATGATTAATGCTTTATTAATATTCAATAGTTTTGAAACAATAGTTCGACATCGGCTTTTGGTAGCTACAATTTGCTAGTTAATTTTTGAAGTTATACTTACATTTATAGTTATTATACTTATCTAAGTGGAAGATTGTTGGATTAGGTGTCTAAGCACATACCTATAATTGGTATAAATTTAAATTGATAGTAGCAATGTCATTTTGGGTTGCCTTCAAACCTAACAATTGAATAGGATAACATTTAGAGAGAGAGAGAAGAATGATTTATTAATTTATCACTTTGTTAATAAATTAATTAGAAATCTAAATAAATGATTTATTAATGTATTATGGATATAATATATTAATTAGAAACAATATTGTTTAATTAATATTAAATTATAAATTAATTTAGAATTAATTTTGAGATTAAATGAATTCATTAAAACTGCAGGGACTAAATGTGACAATGTTCAATAGTTGAGAATTGGGCATTCTAGAACCTTCCTAATGGAAAAAGGGGGGGGGGGGGGAAGGGGGGGGGATTGGAGATTTCTAGGGTGTTCCTAAGGTTTTCTTTGGCTCTAAAGGTGTCTTTGATGCCTTACGGAGGAAGTTAAGAGATTATGGTTATCTTGCATACACATGTCTTATCCAATACCTTCCTAACACCTATATAAACCCTCCACCATGAGGAATTTCAACTATGCTCTTCTAAGAAGCCTCTTGGACGAAATTCTTCTTCCCTTATCGCTCTTTATAGTAATCAATGGTTGCTTGAGTTTGTTTGTGAACCATTAGAGGCTTGACACTTGTGGCGCTTGCTACTGGAGGCCTTTCAAGCAAGGTTTTTAGATTGTTATTACGATATAACAATCAAGGTCTGTATTTTAATATTTATTATGTGAATTTCTATTATAATACTTAGAACCTAGAGTTTCTTCTTTTGTGTTCAAGTTTGCATGTTCAATTAGAGAAAACTTAGATCCAATCAGTTTAGGGTTGCATGCACACATATGAATGTATGTTTTGCTCAAAACCCATCATGTATATCAAGTACATCTTGTGTGAATCAAAAAGAAACTGATGCTCATACAATTCTAAAAAGAATAAAAGACATTCTTAAAAGAATAAGATACACAAATTACATGTGTAGAACTGATAGTCCTGATCATTCTCATCATTGAAAGATCATTCTTATCATTGAAAGAATATGAGACATTCTTGAAAGAACGAGTCATATTACAAGTGCACAATCGATATTTAAAGAATAACAGATGTTCTTGATCATTCTCATCATTCTTCCCTTCGGGACTGATGCATATGTGTCTTTTACAACAACAATAAAAAAATTGTAGCCTTCCCCTCTCTTTTAGTTGAATATCGGGTAAGCCTCTAGTAAGATCGAGGCCTAACCCTTCTTTCCAATAATTGATTAGTATGCTTGGAAAAGAGAAAAACGATGAATAGGGGGTGTGGGTTTTTAGTTTGATATGTCGGTAGAAATCGAAAATGAAGAAGCTCCTTCATTATAATCAACATGAAACTCAATTTTAAGCTTCTTATTTCTGCAAAATTTCTTCTTGCTCGTTATGAGTGTGCTCAACGATTGTTATTTGATCCTTCATTACAATTACCCACCGATCATTAATGTTATTGATCTGACATTTAATTCCACATACGAGTCTAGTAATATGAGCCTAATGATACGATGAAGAGGAATTCAATTGAATATGATCTTCATATGACTAATGAACATGACCTCTGCAAAATTCCTTAATTAACTATTTATATTTTAGGTTGTTAGAATAATATTATGCAATCTCCCATGCTTATATTGGTCTGAGAAATAGACGACCATAAAGTTGTGGGGTATATACATGGCATGGAGACTTCGTTGCTGAGACGGAGGAGGGAAACAACTGTACACACCATTTTGGATGTCTTGTGGTGATAACCTAGAGCAACGATCGTGGTCTTATGTGGTATATACCACGAGAGACCACAACCAATGGACTCTCTTTTTCTTTGTTTATCTGTCTTCTTCACTCTTCTCTGTCTTCTCTTCTTCTTTCTTTTCCGTTCCTCTCTTCTTGTTGCAGGTTGCGTCCCCCATACCCTATGGCCTAATACTAATATGATAACTAAGACCTGATACAAGTTGAATTTAAATAATGACAAAGATAGACCTGATACAAAAAAAACACAGTTTTCTATGCTTATGTTATGGTTCAAAGATAGAGATGCTACAATGCCAATTTGATATGAAATGATTTTTTTTAATTAAAATGATGTTAAATCAGAACACAATGTTGGCCATTTTTTGGGATCTCTCCCCAAAACCCTAGAAAACTAATAGTGGTCTTGAATTATTATTATTTACCTTTTTTAGTCATCTCCCTGCGAATTTAATTATTTCCTATATATAGAGAGAGAATAATCCCTTATTATCAAAACCTGAATATTATATTGAAGAGTGGCCCACACAAGTCTAAATGATGGTCCACATAAAATCTGAAGGCAATTACACTTGCTACAAATGTTTGAAGATTTTGCTGAGATTGGTTTGCTGAAAACCTAAAGTAAGAACAGTCTTTACAAAAAAACAAAAATTCTATTCACATTCAAAAACAAAATAAAGTCTGAGGGAAAACTTTAAGAACCATAAATAGCAAGCATACAAATTATAAACGTTGTTAGTTACTATCTTCAAGACCGAAATGGAAACAAGTAGGAAGCAAGCACAGCTTAAAAAGAAGAAGACATTAGACACGACAAAAACCGAATCAACATGTAAACGTTCACCAGCTAACATTACTTTCAGGCACCACAAACGACTTGGGATCAAAAAGTTGAAACCTAAAAATGGAACCCCTCGACCATATTGTGGTTGCGTGTTATTGTTATGCATGTTAGACATAAAATCATTTGTTTATGCCCTAAAAATCTCGTACACTGTGCAGATTAAAGATAACGTACGGGAGATGCTCAGAAAAACGAGTGCACATATATACGAATAGATATTCAGATCGAAGTAACAAACATACAACTATACAACTATACAAGACGATGAAAGGCACCTGTTAGCAGTACAACCGCTGCTGAATTCATACAGCTTGCCGCGGGCGGAGAATACGACGACGGCGACATCGACATCGCAGAGCACGGAAAGCTGCCGTGCTTTCTCAATTAAACCCGTTCTCCGTTTCGAAAACGTCACTAGCCTGCTACTCTTATCTTCGATCCGCTTTATTTGGAGCTTCCTCCGCCCCATTGTTTCTCTCCCGGCCGGTGAAGTTTCTAGACCTAATTAAGTTTTCGACTTCCGATGACTTCACTCCTTATCTCTATTTATCGTATATGTACCTCATACGTGTTAACTGTTAACTGATTGCGTGTGTTTATAACGGAGGAAGCATGACCTGTAAATTGTGATGATGAGTGATGACTGGTACCCCTTCTGATTTAAATAAATATTTTCGTAATTCTATTTTGTCGTTTAATGCCGGTAAGGAAATAACATTAATTGTTTGATCACTCGACATTATGTTCTTGTTTGTTTAGTTTTTCAATAGCGTTAATCTATAATCAGTTCACAAAAATCACAAAATAAAGTAAAAAAAACAACATACTATTATCATTTTATCCTATATGTTTTAGATATCGACTAAGTTAACCATTATACAATGTAAAGAAATTATCTATAAATTTACCTTTTGCATGATGACTAACTAGTAACTACTTGGGAACATGGCATTTTGGATATGAGTTCGGCCTGGCCCCTTCCAAAATAGGTTCCAGAGTGAATGGCCCCCATTTGGAATGTACGCTGAAATACTTCATATTTTGAAGATATTTAACGAAGTAAAATGACATATCATCCCGAGGATATCAAGGTTTTTCAGGTTAGTTCTTTCTTTCTTTACTTTTGTATTTGATTTTATTGAATATTAACCAAAATAACATAGTCTAGATTGCAAAAATGACATATCATCCCGAGGATATCAAGGTTTTTCAGGTTAGTTCTTTCTTTCTTTACTTTTGTATTTGATTTTATTGAATATTAACCAAAATAACATAGTCTAGATTGCAAATAACATATTTGAAATTCCAAGAACGTGTCCAAAATGGAATGTTAATTCGGATTTAGAGCTATAGAAAACTACTTATTTATCATATGTTCGCGTTCACAACTTTTATCCGTCATTATGAATACTCTGAAATGAACATTGTACTCTGAAATGCGAAGAACAAATCTGAAATTTAAAGACAAATTTGAAATATGAAGAACATCCCATTCCAATCCTATGTAGCAAAACAAACATGATTTTTTTTCATTCATTTGTAATGCTCCATTCCATTCTCCCTTAGATTACTACTTTCGAGACAATATTACATTACCAAATAAAACCCTGAAACCCAAGTCAAATTAACAACTTATATTGTTGGTTTTGTAATTTTGATTATATGTTAATTAGCTGAAGAAGAAAAGAAAGCAAGCTTGGAAAGAGATATTTGTTTGATTAAGGAGAGAATGAGTGTGATGGACTCGAAGCACATAAGAATGAGTGTGATGGACTCGAAGCACATAAGAATGACACTCCAAAAAGGTGATGAAAGAGCTTTCCTTCTCATAGAGATAACTCAAAATCTTTGAAAGCTCTGGACATGAAAAAACACAGAGTAAAATTAAATAAATAATCTCAAATGTTGACCATTTTGTTATAGTTTTTGATAATAAAAAAAAATAACAAATAAGCAAGGTTGGTGTTTTTGCATACATGGATCTCAATAAGGGCATGAGGTAGATAATCTAAAAGTTACATTGGCATTTACATACTTCCTCAAGCACTCATAATAAAATCCATACCTGAAAGTAATTCCTTGTATTGTTCAAACCTAGAAGACCATACGTATTGTTGAAGCACACCTGTATGCTTTCTGTACACCCCATATTGAAGAAGAACATTTGTGCAATACAATTTACAAATTGCAGTAACACTAACCATACCCATAGCATGTTAATTGGAAGGATTTTGCACCTCAAACTGAAAATTACTACCTATAAGGCTTGTGGCATATTCGCTTTTGGCAATTCCATTTATTATTCAAACATCGAAGACCATTGTAGTGTTTGGTATATTAATGTTTAAGCTTAATCCCCTATATTGGTGATATTGCTAACAATTTAACACATGTTATCTAGGATAAACCTAACAATGTGGTTCCTGATTCTGCATACAAGGTTGTTTTATTATTGGGATCCTGATGAATTTTACCGTTGGTACTGTGTTTCTATTATTTATCTTGGTTGATTTGGATTTAAATTGATATGTCTTAAATCTTGACATGTTATGTCAATTGTATAAGTATGAGGCCAAGAAAGTATCTAACTTGACAACATAATAAGGTAACAATATTAACTTTCTACTTGCATGTAACATCCCGATTTCTAAGAATGAGATTTTAGGGATTTCATGCAATTAAAGAAGTCAACTCGATGAGTTGGAGGCCCCTACTCGTCGTGTAGAGTTTTAGTCAGTCCGCATGATTTATGAGGTTTACTCGATGAGTCGGAGGACCCGGAATCGATGAGTAGGAGCTGGAAGATGAAATCCTAATTTTAGGGTTTGCACCCTATTTAAAGGACCTTAAGTCCTTACCTCCAGTCCCTTACCACCTCTTGACGGCCAGAAGAAACCCTAATCAGTCTAGATCTTGTTCTTGAGTGTTTGTGAGATTTAAATAGTGATTTTTGTGCATTTTGTGAAGAAGGTTTGGATTTAAGGAGTGTGGAGCAAGAAGAGCTTGCGAATTTGACTCTATCTCATCTTGGCATCATTTTGAAGGTAACAAGTGTTGGATAAGGTGTCTAAGTCCATAACTATTTCAGGTAAATACTTGACTCGACCCGGCATGGTCCATTTGGGTTGCATGGCACCATGCAATTGGATAAACTAAATGAGAGAAATAACACATATGGTTTATTAATATATTATAAGTTCTAATATATTAATAATATTATTTAATTAATTTGATCAATAATTAATTTAGAATTAATTAAGTGATCAAAAGACAACTAATTAAATGTATGGATTGATTATGTAAATCATCCATAACTTATATAATGGGCTAAGAGGCTCCATGGATAATCAAGATGGGTTATACCCATTGGATGGTCCATGGAGGCTCCATGGGAGTTACAAACCCATGGGTCATGGAAATGAAGAGTCATGACACATTAGGGTGTAACCCTAGATGTGTCAACACTATATAAAGCTCATGTGTTCTCCCTAAAATCGGTTAGACAAGAAACAAGAGGGCTAGAACCGATTTTGAGTGTTATACATTCTCTCCAAGTTTACTCCATAACATTTGGTGCTGTGTGAAGCATTTGAGGCATCACACTTGGGGTGCTAGGCTCACAAGGTTTCAAGGAACACCCACAACAACAAGGTATGTAATTCTATCTATTATTTAAGTTAAAATTGTTCCCATGTAGGCTAGATAGGATCATAGCCTTGGAAATCAACTTTGCATGATAATTAGACAAACATAGATCCAAGGTTATTAGGGTTGCATGTACACTTAGGAAGTGTTAGAATGCTCAACACCATCAGTGGTATCAGAGCCTAGGCTTGCTTGTTTGATTTTTGTGCAAACTGCTTGAAAAAATCGAGTTTTCTGCTTTCTGCTCGTATGAACTCCCCGAGTCCATGGTGGGACTCGATGAGTCCATGACCAAATGCAAGCTACTCGCCGAGTCAGTTCATGCACTCGACGAGTAGAAGCTGCAGTTTCAGAATTTCGATTTTAGTTGCTGGAAATGGACTAGAAACATTACCCTAAATTGTTTTGGTTTGTGTAAACATGTTTTAGATGGTGTAATGTTTATGCTAATCCATTTAAAACAACAAGTTATCAAAATTACAAGTTTTTAAGTGTAATTTTTGATTCATGAAAGTATTCATATTCATGTTCTTGATCTTATGATGTTTAGATGATCATAGGAATTATTTGTAACCTATGTGGTAGATTAATTCATGATCTTTATGTGTTTTAATGGAGTCCATAACTTGTCCTCAAGTTATGGAAAACCAAAAGTCACTTTGCTTTAAAACCATTAAAAGAACTCATGGGTTATAAAATGAAGAGTCTTCATTTTTAAATACCCTAATAAACTCATAAGTTACAAGAAATGAAAAGTTTTGAAAGTTTACAAAACTTTCCCTCAAGTTTTGGAACAAGTAAACTTTAGTTCCAACCCTTAGAATTAAAAAAAAAATTAAATTTAACCCTTATACTTATAGTATTATGATTTTATATATATATATATATATATATATATATATATATATATATATATATATATATATATATATATATATATATTTATGTATAAGAACAAAGTCGTCTTACCGCTAGTACGCCTCATTCACGAAGCCGGTCTATAAGGTGGGTATAAGGTTGTTGCCTATAAAATGGCAACTTAATGGGTGTCTACTCTCACCCACCGCTTGCTTGACTGGTGGAGGGTCGTTAGCCGAACGGGTAAGACAAGGACTTATAAATTATCATTAAAAGTATAATGATTATTATAAAGTAACTAAATGTTTTATAAATTCCCAATCTTAGTTACTTTAGGAAAAATGTGAATAAGGTGCTAATCCATGAAATTACACTTTGCACCTTGTTTAAGTCGTTGGTGGAGCGTGTGTGGTTTACCGGCACACTAACTTGGACTTAACAAGGAAGGCAAAGGGTGACTTAAGGTTTTTCATGAGGTCGGAAGGAGCGCGTGTGGTTTACCGGCACAACGATTAAGTGAAAAACATTAAGGGTACCAAGTAATTTGCATGGTTACTTCACACCTTGTTTTGTGATCCTCGGTATCCCAGTCACAAAACATGAAGGGCACACTCGAGATTGAAACATGCCATTGAAAAGTTCAATGAATCTCAAAGAATCTAGGAATTTCTAAAAGCCAAATAAAACCTAATAATTTATATTCGTTTTCATGGTGGAAATTGGTGAATCGTCATTCACCTGCCTTTCAAATATGTTATAACTTGGATTACGACATCCCTCTTCTAGGTTATAATATATTGTGATTGGATCCTAGCCTTAATACTACATTTGGGTGTTTTATTAAGGACTATCCCTATATCTAAACTAAACTTACTTTATTCCTTTCAGATGTCTTCTAACAATGTTACTCCTGGCTCAAACCCTACGGACTCCTTCTCTCTCATGAACCTTGGTGGGAGAGTCATC